CATAGGACTTGGAGTCCCCGAGCGAGAGAGTTTCTCCTTGCCGGATATGGGAAGGGTTCCTCCTCCCATCGTCCCCAGCCTCATAGGACTTGGAGTCCCCGAGCGAGAGAGTTTCTCCTTGCCGGATATGGGAAGGGTTCCTCCTCCCATCGTCCCCAGCCTCATAGGACTTGGAGTCCCCGAGCGAGAGAGTTTCTCCCTGCCCCGTAGACATGCATCGTGTCATGGGGGCTCGTCTGGCCCCGGGGCTGGCATCATTTAGAGGCCCATGGTTCCCAACGGACGTGCCCCATGGGACCTGGAGTTCCCGACTAAGAGTTACTCCCCGCCCGATATGGGATGGTAGCTTGCAACGTGCCCGTGGAGGCTCGGATGGCCGCGGGGCTTGCACCGCCTAGCCCAGGGTCCCCGGCCGGCGCGCCCCATGGGAGTTGGAGTCCCCAACTGAGAGTTTCTCCCCGACGCATCAGGGATGGCAGATTGCAGCGCGCTTTGGGGGGGGCGGGGGCTCTGCCTGCCGTGGGGCTTGCTCCGCTAAGCTCATCGTCCCCGGCTGGCGCGCCCCATGGGAGTTGGAGTCCCAGATCGAGAGATTCTCTTCGCTTGCACTCCATCGTCCCCAGCCGGCGCGCTCCATGGAGTTGGAGTCCCCGACTGAGAGTTTCTCCCCGTGCCGCGGGGGCTCGTTTGACCCGCGGGGCTTGCGTCATTTAGCCCATGGTCCCCGGCCGGCACGTCCCATGGGAGCTGAAATCCCAGACCGAGGGGATTCTCTCTGCTCTACCCGGGATCGCGGCCTGCACCGCACCACAGGGGCTCTTCCAGCCGCGGGGCTTGCACTCTTCAGTCCATGATCCTCAGCCAACGCGCCCCATGGGAGTTGGAGTCCCTGACTGAGAGTTTCTCCCTGCCCGACCCATAATGGTAGATTGCACCGTGTTATGGAGGTGGTGGGGCTCTTCCGGCCACGGGGCTTTGCGCCGTTTAGCCCATGGTCCCCAGCCGGTGTGCCCCATGGGAGATGGAGTCCCCGCCCACGCTGGGATCATTGACTGCACTGCGCCGTGGGGGCTCCTGCAAAACCCCCGAAGGGACCCCCTGAATCCCAGTTTAACTAAACTGGTTTCCAACAAGCCTGGGTGGGTGGGATTCAGCCTCTTCTCTTGCCCCCCTCCCCCAGCCTTGACCTTGTCTCCGAGCCCTCCCCCCGCCCCGCCCCCCCGAAAGCAATTTTACAGATGGGAAATTGAGGCTGACCTCGTGACTCTCCAACTGCCTACCGGCTACATACAATCTATCTGTCCCGATGACGTCATGGGCAGTGACGTCACTCCCTCCCCTTCTACCCTTCCCCCCCCGCCAGGACGGGGCTTTCTTCCGGTTTGAGAGTTGCAGGGACCTGAAGGGTAACATTTTATTTACCTGTCCTTCTGGGCACCTGCGGTATAAAAATAATACACATTAATTCGTTTTTAATTCTGTGTTTTACAGTTATAGAGATCGTAAGTGATAAACTATTTCTGGCTCAGCTCTAGTAATGCTATTCCTCTGGCTCGGCTGCTTTTTGCGCAAAGCTTCACCCCAGAACGAGGTGTGCAATTTTTAACTGTAAATTTATAAATGTATGTATAATGAATAATTAATCTCAGCTTGACCTACCTTGCAGGGTGATTGTTGGAGGGAAAAATAGAGGAAGGAGGATCAGGTGTGATTGTTGCCCTGAGTTTATTTGTTTATCAAATTTATTCGCTACCCACCCAGAGTAACACTTTAAATAACTGTGATTTATAAAATAAGGGGAAACAAATAAACAAACAAATAAATATGCAAGGCCTCCAATCCTGACAATTTTTTTTAAAATTCAAACTTAGATTTCACATTTAATATAAATTCTCAGTGGACACTATTTGGGGTTTATGGAAATATGTAACTAAGCCATGTAGGATGAGCTCCCTTAAAGGATGAATGGATGGATGGATGGATGGATAAGGAAGAAAGATGGATGGATGGATGGATGGAGGGAGGGAGGGAGGGAGGGAGGGATAAGGAAGAAAGATGGATGGATGGATGGATGGATGGATAAGGAAGAAGGATGAATGGAGGGAAGGATGGAGGGATGGATGGATAAGGAAGAAGGATGGATGGATGGAAGGATGGATGGATAGATAAGGAAGAAAGATGGAGGGAAGGATGGAGGGATGGATGGATAAGGAAGAAGGATGGAGGGAGGAATGGATGAAAGGATTGAGAGATGGATGGATGATGGTTGAATGGAGGGATGAGGATGGATGGATGGATGGATGAAGGATGGAGAGCTGGATGGATAGAGGGATAAATGGATAATGAAGGATGGATGGCTAGATAAGGAAGAATGGGCGGAGGGATGGATGGCTAAGGAAAAAGGATAGAGGGATGATTGGATGGATAAGGAAAAAGGATGGATGATGAAGAAGGATGGATGGATGGATGCTGAAGGGTGGATGGATGGATGGATGGATAAGGATGGATGAATGGATGGAAAGATGGAGTGATAAGGAAGAATGGACCAAGGGATGGATGGATGGATGGATAAAGAAGGATGGAGGGATGGAGGGATAAGGAAGAAGAATGGATGCATGCATGGATAATGAAGGATGGATGGATGGTTAATGTCAGCCTGGTTCCAACTCAGATGTTTAGGGAAGGAAGACCTTGACTCCATTTGTTTGAAGTGAAAGGATCTTTTACTCAGGAAGTCAAGCGCTTGCAGAGAAAGTAAAGCTAGATCTGAATATCCTCTCCCTTCCTTGGCTCCCCCCCCCCCCCCCCCCCCCCCCCCCCCCCCCGTTGGCCAGTCCAATAATGTCCGGTGGGAGGCTTTTTTGATGTTTTGGGAACAGCTGGGATGTTTGGCGCCTCTCCCTGCGGTTTGGCATGCCGTTCTTAGGCTTTGTCCTTGATTTTTTTTTGTCCCAGTTTAGTCTGGATCAGCATCTCTAGTTCCTGCCACCCTAAAAATCCCCCCACCCCATTATCCCCCCCACACACATGTTCCCATGTCCAGTCTTTACTTCCTCAGTTGCCTTCCCCCTCCCTTGCGTTGAATGGCAGGATGCCAGCAAAGCAGCCCTGACAGATAAGATGGATGGATGGATGGATGGATAAGAAAGGATGGATGGTTAAGGAAGAAAAAAGGAAGGATGGATGGATAAGATGGATGGATGAATAAGGAAGAGGTATGGAGGGGTGGTTGGATAAGATGGATGGATGAGGAAGAAAGAAGGAAGGGAAGGAAGGATGGATGGATAAGAAGGATGGATGGATGGATAAGGAAGAAGGATGGAGGGGTGGATGGATAAGAAGGATGGATGGATGGATGGATACATAAGAAAGAAGGATGGATGGATGGATAAGAAGGATGGATGGATGGATGGATAAGGAAGGATGGGTGGATGAATGGATAAGATGGATGGATGGATGGATGGATGGATAAGGAAGAAGGATGGATGGGTGGATGAATGGATAAGATGGATGGATAAGGAAGGATGGGTGGATGAATAAATAAGATGGATGGATGGATAAAGATGGATGGATGGATGGATGGATAAGGATGGATGATGGATGGATGGATAAGGAAGATGGATGGATGGATAGACTAATGGATGCACAGATAGCAGACAGACAGATAGATCTTTTTGAACATGGGTGGTGGAGAAGACCCTCGACAATGGGAAGACCACAATAATAATAATAATAATAATAATAATAATAATAATAATAATATTAATAATAATAATAATAGTAAAGTTGGAAGGGACCTTGAAGGTCATCTAGTCCAACCCCCTGCTCAGGCAGGAAACCCTATACCATTTCGGACAAATGGCTGTCCAGTCTCTTCTTAAAAACTTCCAGTGTTGGAGCATTCACTGCTTCTGGAGGCAGGTTGTTCCACTGGTTAATTGTTCTAACTGTCAGGAAGTTTC